CCTAGAGATGGAAGTCAATTTAGTCAAAAGTCACTGAGATGAAAAAGTAACTTCTGTTATTAACTAATCCCTACAGTATAGCTATGTCACAAAAAAGTTTCTGTGGTTTTAAGGTAGAAATTTATATGCCCCACTATCTTAAAATTCCAGACCTGAACTGTAGGTAAACATTATCTGGAGATGCTATAATTTTTGGTAAAAAGAAATCTGAATCAATTACTACCACATGGCAGTGTCTGGTAGTCATATAGATATTGCTGCTATAAATGTATTCACTGAATACCTGCAAGATTGCTAAAGACCACTCTAAATACCATTCTTTTTCCAAAACAATCTGGGGCCTGTAGTGGTTGCTATGTAATGCTTAGGTGTATTTAGTGACAAAGTAAACCTCTGACAAATGTGCCAAACTTTGTGTAGAAAAGCAGAAATTCTTCTCCTTTCTTTTACATTCTACTGTAACTTTCTGGGAGGTTTGAGGATTGGACAGTGGGTGGGATGGGGTAGGTTTTTTTATTATTGTTCTTTACCTGACTGTTTCCAAATGCTTCACTTTTTTGCCTTGATAGCAAGAACAAATCGTGTTGTTCTTACTTTCTGTTCTGCATGTATTATACAGACTGTGACAGAAATAATGCCTTTTTTTTTTGTTGACTAACATGGAAAAATGAGATAAAAAGTTGGATTTAGATTTGGGATTTCAAGATAGTTTATAAATGTGTATTATGCACATAACACAACTGTATAGAAGACAGAAGAAATTATAAATCCTGTATAAGCATATAAAGGGTATATATAATTTATATATTATTTATATAATATATAAATATTTATTGCATAATACATGTTAGATATAATTATATAAATATATAATACCTATATCATTTTAATTTTCACTAAGAATATATTTTTTAGCATTTGTACATTCTAACACAGGCTTACACATACATACCCGTATAATATATATTGCTGACCAATAATTTATGCAGGAATACTGACAGAGAGGAAAAATTTTGTGCATTAATAGCGCAGACAATAATTTTATACCCAAGTTCAGCTACTTCAGTCCTTAAGAACACCTTTTCCAGAATACATATCGAGAAAATTAACTCTGGCCACAGATTTTTTTTTTATTAAGGGAGGAAAACTTAGAATGCTCAAGAATTTCCAAGCCCTTCTTTCACACTGGAGGTCTTAGATTTCATAGTCTCTTACTTTATTTGTATTGTACTCTATATGAAGCAAGCTTTGAAGTGAATGAAATCAACCTTTTAACACAAAATTTGAAAGGTTGCATACAATGCAGACTTCACACATTTCTCTGTATCAAGAAACATATGACATATTAAAGTTAGACCTTTTATGTACCCAAACAGATCTAAAAAAAAAAATTGCTATGTTGAATCAGGGTCCTTAGCATCCCCTTGCCTGTAAATTGATGAAGAGTGCAGTAGCTAACTGGGATTTACACCAGTCAGGATGGGTGTAGTCGTATTATTTCAGAGCACGCCCAGCAAACAGATTTGATAGATGGAGATCCCAAAGTTCAGGTTCTTATGAGTTTGCATGTGGATTTGGTGACCTAGAAAAGAATTTGTTACTTTCCTGCAATACTAAGTTCCAAGGATATTTCATATGTCCATGCTTTTCTGAGTTCTCTCTATTTAGATGCCCACATTTTGTAGGAAATTGCCAGTAGATGGCCCTGAATGCTTCATTGTATCTGGCCTAAGTACACAATATGTGTGTGGATGATTAATTTGCAACACCTAAAAATTATTACTGTATTAATGCCAAATGCAAGACAACTCCAATCTTGAATTATTAATGTGTGTGTCATGTAGAAAACAAAAAGTCAAAAAGATTGAATGTTTAGAAGCGATAATTTAATGAGGGTATGATTTAAATAAATTTGGTTTTTGGTGGAGTTGTGCCTTCTTTGATGTATTTCTTTTTTGTTTGGTAGTCTAAGAGTTATCCACATTTAACAATTAAAGATTATGGGTCTGATCCATTTCAAAGATGCAGATGCTTACAGCTCTTTGGAACTTCTGTGAGTGTTAGTACTTCTACAAAATCAGCTCCAGGTTTTTAAAACCCCATAGCCCTAATTTAAGAAAGCTATCAAACCAATGCATGTTAATGATACTGATACACCAGATTCTCAAACACACGATGTTCATAAGTGGAATAAAAAAGTGATAATGCAGTACATTAATTCATAACATAGATTTTTTTTAATAAGAATTAAAAAGAGAGGTGTTAATATTAAAAAGTGAGAATATGAATATGTTCCAAATAAGAAAATAGAATACAGTGTTCTACAGTGTTATAAACAAATAATTGAACAGTCTGCCCATTTGAGAAAAAAAAAACACACTATTAACACTAATATGGAACAAGAATATTCTCTCTGTATAGCATATATACATGCTATATATATGTACCTTATTGTGCGCACTTTTATCTTGGTCGGTTTCTTGTTTGAATTGTGTTTCAATAATTAACATGCAAAAATACATACAAATAAATTAAAATAAAATTTTATTAAATAAAACCATTTGTGTTTCAAACATAGTTCAATCAAAAATTTAAACTGCAACTAAGGAAATCTGTTTAAAATAATTTTTGAAAGTAACTTGTCAAGCTAAAAGTATTCTTTTTTTTGCGAGATTTGTCATAGATTATTGTATGTTCATCTTTCAACACACAGACTCAGATGTGAACTTCTAATACTGGTTTTAAATGTAAATCTCCTGTGTTGATTTCCCTTTTAATAGATGAAAAGATAACAAATACTTTAATAAATGCAAAAATAATACTGATTCAGAAGTATTTATCCTGAGGAAGATGGTAACACTGGAACAACTTTTCTGGAAATACAGATAAGAAAAAAACTAAATATAATTTCTTGGGAGATTATTCGTCATTGGTGAACATATGTAGAAGTCTCAATCTCCAGGACTGCTCTTATGAAGTCACACAGAATGTGTCTTACTCTTGTTATAAATCAGTATCTTTCTTAAATGGTGAGCTCCAAAGGTACCAGTGTAGTTGTGGACTTGGAACCTATAAATTTCCAAACTGTAAAGGTTAGAAAACTGTACTCCTGAACCAGGAGCAGGGGAAAGTAATATCATAAACTTAGAAAAGAAGAAATAGTTCCCACTTTGATAAAGGAAGGTGATGAACTATGTAATTAGAATTCTTTAATATTTGTCACTGATTGGGCAATTCACTAGCTTGACCTTTTTAATCAGCCCTCACAACCTCATTTGGATAGATACAGTGACTGTCCATCCAAGCTTTTAATTTTCTGTCTTCCTAGGGAGGTAAAGGAGAGTTCTATACATCAGCTAAGGATAAATTCTTCTGCATAAGTTCTGGTCCCTGAGTGACTAGCAAGACATGTATGACTTCATATTCTGGACTAGGACCTTGCCTAATTTTATTAGGGTAACTATGGTCTTGACAACTGAATACATTCAGCCTAAGGAATGGATTTGGTTTGAACTGGGATTCTTTATACTAAGACAAATGGAAGGCTTAACCAAAAAACGTATTTCAGACTGTGAAATAAGCAGCTATGATACTTTAAGAGTATTTCCCTTAGAGCTAAAAGTTGAAAGCGATGAGTTCACTGCAAAGCCAGGTAAAATACAAGTGAGGAATTATATTTTGGAGCTTATGCAGAGTAAATTATAATTTTTACAGATAAATTTAAAAAATACTACAAGTAATGTACCAAATGTCTTAAGGTGAGTTAATGAATAGCCTGTAACTTCAGTTTATGTTGTCTAAACATGAATCAAAACTATGACAGTTCTGACATTTCCCTTCCCCATGCCTTTACAGTTATTGAAATAGTTAAAGCATTCATAGTGGGCAAATGGAATGATGTTAAGTGAGGTCACCTATGGGTTTTGCTGGTGCAGGTGCTCCAGCAGTTTACTAAACAACTTCTAGTAGCTCCTGAATTCATATATCACTGAGGAAAGAAAAATCTTTGAAAGAAAAAAGAAAGGAATAATTGGCAACAGGGATGATAATTCAGTGTTGTCTGAAATAACATTAAAGAGAAAAACAAAAAGCTTTTGTACTAAAAAAAAAAAAAAAAAGCAAGCAAAAAGCTTTCTGATGTCTCATAAAAGCCCTGAGTTGAAGGTGCCAAAAAGAAATAACCTATAAAGTTGATGTATAAGGGTAAAAAGGAAAAAGTTGAATTTCCCCATACAACAATGATGCTTCCTCTGCAGGCTCTTCTAACTCTGGCATCCTATTCATGTTTCAAAACATATCTGGTTTTCAGCAGAATGGTCCCAAAAACTGAAAGATCTCCAGAACTGTACAGCTTTTTTTTTTTTTCCCCAATAATATCACTATTTTATTCTTTATATTTAGATCTCTTTTGTGATCCAGAAGTAGGTAACAATTTGTGAAAAATTGCATATATACAATTGCTTTGAAATCCAATATAGGAAACTGCCATTAAAATGTCTTAATAGATCACATCAGTAAAAGATGGATCAGAGTAACATGATTGCCATGTGTCCTCTCTTGGATGTAACGGTGATATTTTTTTTAACCTTATAGACTGGTAAATGCAATTGTAAATATAAATTAGTGTGGTTTTTTATTTATAGAAATAGCACAATAAAAAACATTCATGGCAGCTGTGACAAGCAATTTATGTGTAACATATACCTCAATGTGAATTTCAAAATAAATGATAGTTTTATTTCCCAATAAAATAAATTTATTCAGAAGGCCAATATTACATCCCAACAGTGAAAACAAACCATAAAATTAAAACTAATTTTACAGTGATTCTTAAAGTTATCTGAAGGAATTTAGACTATTTGGACTGTTTGCTTGAAAATAAAGTAATTGCAGTTTTTATTTTGTAAAAGGTAAAGGGTTTCAAGTTTATCTAGAGAATCTTAAAGAAAATATATTTTAAAATAATGATGACAGACAGGAGTATCTCTTTTCCTCCCCAGGTAAAAAAGAAGAATGTTCTCAGCTGGATTCTGCTTTAGATGAGAAATTACAAAGGAGAAAAGACTTTACATACCAATGGCTTCATGCACAGCTTTTGGATTATGAAGCAACGAGTTCCAGAAATACGAAGTGGTGAGATCATTGCCTTTAAATTAGATTTTTTTTTTATTTTAAATTTTTCTTGTAAAGTGAAACCTAGGTTAATAGTTCTAAAACAAACATGATTTTGCAGCTAGCAGACAGAACACCATATTTCAGGTCCCAAATATGTCCCCCTTTAGAACTGGTTTAGTAATTGTTGTATAGATACTTCTTCTCAGTGAAAATTAAATAATAAACAGTGCAGAATCTCATGATAAATAACTACATAGTTTTACATTAGCAATGCAGTGGCTTTTAGGCTGTAAAGAGTGTATGAAAAACGTTCTTATTCATCATATATTTTATAACATTATTGATATATATTATGGGTTTATGTAATTAGATCAACTGTAACATTAGCTATATTGTTAGATTTGATTAAGGAAGTAAAAAAACCCTTTTGTAACTAGTTAATGTGTATTTATATTTTGTTTTAAAAACATCAACCCAACTTTTACATCTTCATAGTATAATGTATTAAAATGTGGTAAACATGCTCCTTCTCTGTTCAGTTTTGGTTATTGAACAGATAAAATATCAACAAAATTAAAGGAGAGGTTAATATTCCCTAAACTAACATGAAGACACAGTAAGTATATTTTGATCATAAATTCAATATGTCATCACTGATATGTTAATGAAGTCATTAGTAGACACAATGCAAAGCACCTCTAATAAAACCAAAGTGTCATTAGGCAGGTAGGGCTGCATATTGTCCTGCCTTGTGTGGAAAAATATTCCACATACCCAGGTTGTATCAATGACTGTAGAAAGTATATGAAGAATATATTCCTTAGGAGATATTTATCTGGCTTTGCAGAAATATTTATCTATCAGTCATGTTCCATAATAGTGGAATACTCCAAAGTGTTTAAGATAGCTTCCATGACTTTTAATTTGAATGAAAATACTGGAACAGAAACATGTAATGATGTTTGAAAGTAAGAAGGCACAGAAATTTCTAGAAGAATTTTCTTAAATATTATTGTTCTACCTTTCTGGATGTATGCAATGCACTAGTATTTGTATTAGTGCAAAGATCATAAAACCATTTTTTAATGTGGCAAAAGTCCTGATCTCCATTGGAACATCACTGATAGACAGTTTATAACAGCTGCTACATTTAGGCAACTGAGAACAATTTTATTCCTATGTAGAGTAATATGACAACTGGTTTGGCTACAATTTATGTCAACACATGCAACAATTCATACATGGTTGCATTTATTGACATATATATATTTTTAGTATTCCATCTTTTGAATAGACAATTGAAAATTATTTATTGATTTTAATCTTAAGGACAAAAAATTATTATGAATTACTCTGCTACTTTATCAGGTAATGTTAATTTCTGTGATGAATTTTAATAATGGGATTATTTTTAAAACTTAAGCAGGATTGTTGCTAGGAAAAGATTCTGCACAGGTATTTCAGAGAACCCAGTACAGTGGGACATATTGAAATTTCTTTCCTACATTTTTCCCAGCTGTCGTTTTTTGCCTGAGTTAGATCCTGCAATATGTGACAGTAGACGAGTACAGCTTGTGGTAAGAACTTGTTTCTTTGTGAGATTTTTCAGAATTCAGGTATTTCCAATCCATACTTTACATAAAAAGAGGAGAATTTTTTCATTAATATAATTATTTACTGTTGTCTCTGTTTGGCAAGCAAGTTACTCATTGATAGAGATCAGAATAAATATTTTAGCACAAGAATCCATGTTTGTACATAGGGTTCTAGCTAATGATCTGACACTGAGTTTGTTTTTAAGACATCAAATGCCATTGTGTGTTTTTTAAAGGTTATAAATCAACATTTGAAAAAAAAAATTAAATATGGTTCAGTACCAACTACATTATTTACTAAAAATCTCTATTCTTGTCAGTTGAACAACTTTAAATATTCTCAAATTCTATATGTCACATAACTAAATTATTCTAATATGCCTTCAGTGTCATTTGTTAAAATACAGTAAGCTGGAATCATATATTAATATGGTAACATTATTAAAAACACTGCATAAAATTAGACCTATACTCACTCCATTTATATATATATACATATATATACTCTTTACATTTTATTTCCAAATTAGCAATATTCTTATTGATATTATTATGTGGGGTTTAAAAGGTGGGGCAAAACCAGAAACTATACAGAATTAGTGCTTTATACTCATAAACATGATGCAGAATATTCATAAAAGGTATTTCCCTGTTAAGTGATGTGTCATATGCGTCATTTCATTCTCTGAGCAATCTTGCCCGTTTCTAACCTCTGTATTCTTTAGCTTCACCACCTGTGCATGTTTTGGAAACAATTCCATAAACTCTTCTAAAATTCACCTTTGAAAAAAATACTTTTGAGGCTTAGGTATTGCTATTACTGTTTTCTTTAGGACAGATTTTGTCACATATTTTTCTCTGGCATGGGGTGTGTCCAGTTCTTAGATTCTTTTAAAGTTTAGGGGCTGAAATCATGAGCCAAGTGACAATTGTTGTGGGGCTTGATTGCAGCAGCACCAATAGTTATTTGTTAGACTGAGTCTAAAACAGTAATTTATCTAATTTGAGCAAATCATAATCTAATAATGTTATCTAAATTACATATCATGTAATTGTTGGTAAGCATATGTGCATATAGGTAGATTGTATGTTATTTACAATAAGCGGTTCTGTCCACAAAATACTGCTGCAATCCCACAATAGTATTATGTGGTGTGCCCACATAACTGGCAAAGTTATGGAATTGTCACAGCCTGTGCCACATAATTACATAGCTGTTCCACATGAATGAAATACAGAGAAAATTGCAATAGAGGGTTCAAAAAATAGAAAATGGAATAAAATGTATATCTAATGCCGAAAACAGTACTATATAGGCAATGAAATAATGATGTGGTTTGTCCACACAGATGGCTGGAGAATTTGGGGTTTAAAATTTACATGGGTTCTTTTTTAAAGGTTGAAATGTGAACAACTCCTACTGCTTTTGCACAGTAGGTCAGTTAAAAGCTATGAAATCATGATAAAAATGCAGTTAACACTTAGCTTCAATTATTATCAAACATTTCTGGTAAACTGAAAGAAAGTGGAAAATACACAGTAAAATAAAAGAAAAAAGAGAAAAAGAGAGAGAGAGAAATAGAAGAGGAAAGCATTCCTGGGCATTTCCAGTAGTTTATTCTTATGTAATATGCTCGATCACGAAGTTTCCTGATGTGTAATAGGATCCCTGTGTTTTATGTGTTCCATAAGCCTGCATTCTGAAAGTACTAAATTAATATAGCTTTCTAACTGCTATTTGTGCACATTCCAATAAGTTAAAACTTTCTTTTTCATGGATACAAAATGGTGTTTCAATGGTTGCATATAAACACTAAAGTCTTAGCCCTTCTGATTGGGGATTATTCCTATGTAGTAACCTGCAGTAAATCTAAAACCCTATTATCTGAATCTTCGTCAATTTAATGGTTTTTTTCTTACTAATACTATCATAGAAGTGTTTAAGAAGGCATGCTGACTTCCTAATTAATATGACTGACTTCATTAATATGATTTTGTTGAACAACAAGTAGGATAGACTTCCTGATTCTTTTTTTATGATGTTTAAGTTACCTACAGGGTTAACCACTTCACTGTTGATCAGTATCTCCAAATCATTTATATATAACTTGAATTTAAAAGTGTTTTTTATCTCTGAAGGTTACAGAAACCTTGATAATTTTACATAGGAATAGACAAATATAGATGCAGAGATGTGTTCAAGGAAAAGGTTCTGCTTGACTGAACTTAATTTCCAATTAATTTGAAAAAAAGATTTGTAGTAATAAAACCAAGGGCATAAAGTCTGAAGAGTTGACTATGGAGATCACTACAAATGGAAGTCCAATACTACACTCTGCAAAAAGCTGTATCAGTATCTTAAATTTCTTCCAAATTTTGGCTCTAAGCTATAAATATAAAAGGGAAGGTTTTAATTAGCTTCAGAGGACTTTCAACCAGCTTCTTTACAAATCTGAAATTAAGTTTGCTCCAGTGGTTAATACAACGTTAAATATTACTCTGACTGTAATTGGGTGAAAACACTTATCTTTATTTGAAATAAAATAACAAATATTTTACATCAGGGAGACAGACAGCCCTATTAAAAGCTAGCATATAATCCTGAATAGTGTTGTCTACAAGATGATGAAGCCTCAGTTTATATGATGGTAGGGATCGGATACTGTGGAAAGGCTATCTGTTTAAAATAGTGTGGTCTCCTGGGTCTTTGGGAATTGGGATATTAGAAAACTTTTGCATTGTGTTGAAACAGGTTAGATGGAAATAAGAATGATCAGTTCCATTGTTTTGAATCTCTCAGCATCACAATGATTGCATTACTTCTACTAATGAAAGACTAAAAGCTTTCTATTTAAAGATTTTGAATATAGAGAGTTCTCACAAGCTTAAAGCCACTGTAAATATTAAGTCGAAAAAATATAAAGAATTGGCAGGATGAAACATTACTCTTTTCAAAGCTTCTTGACACTGCTGTGGAAGAGAAAATAAAATATTAATGTTGATCACGATAATAAAGCCTACTGCCTGTGCTAAGCAAAACTTTAAAATCCTGGTCATTAAACAAAAGGCAAGCATCAGAAAACAAGGGATAAACTTTCTGTGTGGACACAAAGGGTATGCAGTCACTAAGGAAGAGTGTAAAATCTCTGTATCTTTGGAGTTTTTAGTTTGAAAATGCAAGGGCTTTTTAATGAATTTTACATTAAACAGTGACTGAGTAAAGACAAGGAAATGAAACAGGTCTCCATTTCATCTGAGTTCTCTGAGTTAGACTGGACTACAAAGCCTGTCTGCATTGGTGTAGTGCTGCTCTTGGTACAGTGAGCTAGTTTGAACAGGAAGTCTGGAGATTGTCTCCTCCAGAATAGCCTACAACTTCACGGTAACAGCATTTTCCTGAGAAAAAGGGAGCTGCAGGCTTTAACTCTCTGGGAGTTGAGACCCAGTCTCTCGATATCTGATTGAGCAGTCATGCTACTACAATGTTACAAAAAAGTTTGATGACATTACTACTAGCATAGTCTTTCCTTTTCTGTAGTTTCTTTGGGTTTATACATAAAAAGAAAGGGCCTCTACTCACCTAGCTTCCGAAAGACACCGAGCTTTTCAGCCCAGATAGGAAGGACTTAATCTGTTTTTCTGGACTCCATTTTTGAAAGTCCAGAGACTAGAAAGTTATGTCTTTATTACTTCCAGCTGACTGACTCTACACTGGGAATCTTGTAGATTTTGTAGATTGTTCATCTGCAGTGTCTTATTTTTCCCAATATTGTTACTGGCCCTCTGTATCTAATGAACAGTATAGTTAGATGGTTGCATAGTTTTAATTTCCTTCATGAGTAAAAGTGAAGTTGTTTCTGCAAAACTCACAATCTACAATTTACAATGTGTAGTATCTTCCAGGTCAGAGTTTTTAAACTTTGCCCTACATGCCATTGCTAAAATGAAATATAATTTTCATTTCTATTTTACCATATTTTTGTGCAGGTAACATGCCTGAGGTCAAAACATATGACCACTGGATGTTAGAAGTTTATAATTCATATAATACTCTTGCCTAAAGTATAATTAAAAGGCTGTCTGATAGTTATGGCTAATTAGCAAAAACCTAAAAGATTAAATTACTCACTGGGCCTTTGTCTGATTGAAGTGATATGTGTCCTGGATAAAGCATAAATATTGCAGGAAATAATCCAATATGACATCTCTGACATTCAACTATAACTTAAATTATAGACTGGTCAGTAAATGATCTTAAGCTGTTTAAGGTTTCATCAACCGTCTGCAAGATTGATTTTCTTCAAAATTACTGTACTAAAATGTTTTCTTTTGTTGTTGCATTGACTCAGATCACAAACCACAATTTTAAGATCGACTCTTATTTACAAAAGTGCTTTGACATAGTGCATTTGTTCAGCCTAGGCAACAAAAAAGGATTGTGGTATCATTTTGAAGAAGGTTGTTTGACAGACCCTGTTTGTTTATTTGGAGTAATGTGAGCTACATTCAGAAAATGTTATATTTTGTTTCATGATTGTGTACATTCTCTCCCACTGCTTCCAGGCAAGCCCTGTAAGCAGAGAAGACATGGATTTAGAACTTGTTTCTATGGCCAGTGGAAGTGCTTTGACTGAGAACAGAATAAAAAACACACTGCCACACAGACACTCAACAAGATCTTCCAGTAAGTTATGGGTTTTTTCAATATCAGTATTAAAGATCACTTTAAAATGCTAGGTAGAACTGAGTGTGCTTGAAATCCTTAATAACACATGCTGCTTATCCTTCTGTTTCCTTTTTACCTAAAACCTTTTCATTCATTTTCTACAGTTCTGTTTAAAAACTGCATCTTTAATATCAATAGTCTTTCCTCTTGTGATTTTAACGGGAAGTTGCTAGTGACATATTCTAGGTCTTCTGATGTTTGAGTTCTTAAAAGATTTTCTTTTCCCTAAATTATAATACAGATTTGGTTCTTTAATCTTTGCCTGATTTTTTTTTTCCAACAGAGCTTTTAAAAATGCATGTTTTGTTAGCCGAATACTAGAACACGTATCCTAAATCAAGGAACAAATTTCTGTCATGTTGATTACCCATTTATGCTATAGTCTATGATCCCACTGAGCTTACTATAGCTCAGTAGCAGAGGATCCCTTTAAAACCTTATATTTTTACCACTCTAATATCATACAACTCAACAAAATAATCTATATATAGAAAAAATACAAAAATAATACTTGAAAGTCATAAAATGATAGATTTGTAAGTTTCATGCCTTACTTTGTGTAACAGAATTGAAGAAATATTAATATTTTTCTGATAAGGTCATACTATATTTTGTCATTTGTGTACAATATCTTTTTCAAATACCTAAAACTCCAACCTCCAAAAATACACATTATGAAAAATATAAGCTGTGTTAAATAATTTTGGCAAAGTCATCAGAATTCCTAAAACTTTTAAGTAGTAAATTTTCTTGAAATGTTTTATGTTGAAGAAGAAAACATATTATTTCATAAATTATATGTAATTAGTGGATTGGCTTTTTGATTATGTTTTCAGATATGCTGACTTTTCACTTTCAGCAAGAAGCAAATTAAAATTCAAGAAAAACATGTAAAAATACTTGATATCTCAATTTTTCTGGCATACTTTTTGAAGGTTTTGGAATAAAGATTTATTTACATTATATTAGTTCACCACAGTAACAGTGAGTACAATTTGTTTGTGCTTATTCACTTGATTTACATTCCTAAAATTAGATTAGATGAAATTTATCATCACAGTCTAAGTTAATTTTATCCATGGAGAAAGAATATGTTCTTCCTCTATGCCTGCCTTCTTAGAAAAGAACGACTTGTGCCCTGACTTTTCTTGCTTCTCTCCATTGGTTAGTGATGAAGCCATACTATTTAAATTAGATGAGATTCCTAGCTGCTAAGATCCTGAATTTAGATGACATAACTCTAAACTACAGATGTCAATGGCAAAATTATCATTATATTCATATATCCAGGATAGAATGCGTGCATATCTTGAATAATTGAGTTAAATAGTATACACTGTATTCATATTAATGTATAACTGCTGTCTAGATTATAACCTAGACTGTATGTCCATCCAGAAAAATAAATAAAAGTAAGCTCTTTTGACAAATATAGACATGTAGAACTTGCCTATATTAGGAACTTGGGAAAGTTTTTTTCTTCAGGATAGAAAAAAGGTGTAATTGTAGTGTACCTTCAATAAGGTGAGACTAGGAAAGGAGCAGGAACAATAGTCAAGTGGCAGAGCCATACGTGTGTGTGAGAGAGAGAGAGCAGAGGCAGGAGGCGGGGGGAGAGAGAGAGTTTACAGTAATATAAATATACTTCCATAAAATACACATCTACTATGCCATAACTACATATTCATTCTCCTTTCGATAGTCCAGGAACTACATTAAAAAAGGCCCTGGTCTTACACCTTTTTACAAAAGTTTCTTCATGTGTGCTTATATAAACTTTATCATCATGGATTTGAGAAATTAAACAGTGATGATACATGCAATGGTAATGCATATTCTATGTAAAACCAAACATAACTGTTACCTTTGTACATTTCATATACTGTATATTGACATGTTTGTTACATTAGTTCTGTTTACCAAAGACTGTTGCTTTTCAATGATCAAAAATAAATTATTAGCCCTGTGGGATCCTTAATCTAAACATGTTATAAATTTGCCTTTACTTAGAATGTATTTATTAAAAAATGCTTTCATGCTGTGTAGTCTCTCTTGGTTTTGCTTTCTGAAATATTAAATGAAGATGCCTGAAAACTGTTTCAGTGATTTAGTAGGTGTATCCCTTTTGAGTGAACTTGCTTTTGTGTTACAGATTATTATAAAGATTCTGTGATTTTAGAGGTGCTGTCGTTTGAATAAGTTATTAAATCATGTTCCTTATATATAACTTGTAATTTAGAAATTGTGTCAATAAATTGTTGAGATCTTAAGGCTGGAAAGTGAGGTTTAAAAGTGCAAGATAAATGATTCTGAAGCATATTTACTAAAAAAACACAAAAACAAATCTATGTGATACTGAAATAAAATACCTTTTATATATACTACAGGGAAATGTAGTAAGAATGGTCATATCTTTGTAAAGACAAAAAAATGCAACACTTCAAAGTTATTATTCTTTTTATTTGCGGGGGTTTTTAGAAAACCTAAGTCAGGATTTTCAGAAATATTTTTGAGAACTCCCCAACCATTATGTACTTTATTTATTTTCTAACGGTGGGTTCTTTGAATTTAGGGTTAAAAAATTTTAAGTCCCAAATCTACTATTTTTTCTCAAAAAATTCGACGGGATAGATAACTGACTTAATTCTGTTCTTTGACAAAACGAAATTAATTAAGTAATAAAAGAAATGCTTTTAACATAGTATATCTTAGTTTAAGGAAAGCATTTGTTTACTTTAAAGTATTTGATTTGGTTCCCTGTTACACATTCAAAGGGAAAACTGACTTTTAATTAAATTGACCCAGTATTAGAAAAATAAAGCTAAAAAAAAAAATTAAGTATAACCTAAAGAAAGAGCAGCCACTGTTCGGTTGGACTCTTCAGTTATCTATCTGATTTAGAACCTTGCTTTGTTCACAGACAATTATTATGATCTAAGAATATACTACTTTATATTCTCTATGGAAACCATAGTTATTGCTTTATGATCCCTGGTAACTATTTTTTATGTTGCCTGAGGTGATTTTGTTTGGGTGGGGATGGTTGGGGGTTTTTTTGTCCATTCTTATCTGACCACTGCTAAAATCTTAATCTCTGTGGTACCTAGTCCCAATAAGTTGCAAAGTAGTTGTGTTAGTATGGCCTTTTGCTGATTATATTTTCTGCCTATTATTTTCACATAGATTTACCTTGCTTTTGTAAAAAAAAGGACAGGAAAAAAAATTCTTTTTCCCTGCTGAATAATTTTTCTGTGGTACACATACATAAGACATGATGGTTAGTGGCTTACAGTCACAGTTATGTAAGATTCAAGTATCGGTCCTACAATCACTGGTATTTTTATTAACTCCAAATCAATGGCGTGAATTGCTGGGTGTATTTTTGTTTCCTGAACACTAGTAGTGTAGTCGTCTCTAAGTTACAAGATGGACATAGAAATATTTTGCAAGAATTAGAACTTAAGGATTTTTTAATATCTGATCAGACAGGATGATTTTTTTTATATACTAATGTCAAATTTGTGAGTAGGCTATGACAATCATCAGCTACTGTCTATCATCCTAATCTGTTTCTGACCAACCGATGTTGGACCTTTAGATGAGTGTCCTACATATTTACATTCTCTAACTGTCATCACAATTCTGTGGTTTTCTTTTCCGTGCAAATTTAAACTTTTTTTCATTGCACTTGCCTTGAGAACTGCAATCTTTTGACAGGCATTTCAAAAAGCACCAGAATTTGAAAGTGGAATGCACTGGGAGCTGTGCCTCTAAATGTTATTTAAAATACTGTCCAGAATTCTTAATTCTTCTCTTCCCTGAATTATAGCTTTTCAGAGAGCCTCTGATATCAGAAGAACACTGCTTTCGAGGAAAAAAAATTCCATTCCTTCATCACTCTTAGTTCAAAAAATGGACCCAGGTATATCTCCACTAAAAAAAAAATAAATAACTTCTATTTCTCATATAAATTCAAACTTTACTATTTTGTTAGTCAGTGAAATTAAATTAATGAAGCTTAATTATGCATTTCTTACAGTGGAAAGTCTTCCAACTCAGAGAAAAAAACCCCATAGTAACTTTTACTGCATTTTCTTTTTACATCTTTTTAATTGTTTTAACTCTTAACAGAACCCCCACATTAATTTTTTTTTTTGCCTTCCTTTCTTTGATAATGAGAGTCTTTAGAAAGTCTTCAACTTTGCTTTAAGCAGTGTATGGTACAGCTTCACTTAAAAATATTCTTACTTTCCTGTTCCTTTCTTCTTAGCATCACTGTTGTCTATATATTCTAGTTCAAAGACTGCTGTCTTTCATTTAGGATTTGTAAACTCCCTGTGTGTAGTAAACATCTCATTTTTAAGCTCTCCATGTCATTACTTATATTTTACCCAGAGGTCTCTTGTGCATATTTCTTTCCTTCTTGCTTTTTCTTTTTTCTTCTTCTTTTTTTTTTTTTTTTTAATGGAGGTACATACATATTTTTCTATGTATTGGTTAACCATCAAACAACGTATACCTAATCTTTTTGAACAGACTACAGAATGATATTTTACAAGATGCTGCTTAATTCACTTTGAGGTTGAATATTAAAAAAATTACCTAAGTGCAGATTTTAAAAGGCATTTAGAACTTGCTTTCATTGAATTTAACAGGCTAGGGAGAAAAATGATACATGATCTTGTGTAATTTCATCATCTGTGTTTCTAATTATGAAAATAATTCAAGAACAGATACTCAAAGGCATTTCCGAAGTTTTAAATGCTTAACTTTATAGCCTGATAGTTGTCTACTAGGGCTTGGGGATTCTTCAGTGTGGGTGTGTTTTTGTTTGTTTGTTTATTTAAGAGAAACCAGGTTAAAAAAAAAAAAGATAAAAACCCATTCTAAGACACTGGCTTGTAGTTCACTTAGATACCCACTTAGATACCCACTTAGAATGATTAGACCAATGACAA